ATTTGCAAAGACGACCCAAAAACCTGCAGAGGAATAGAAACTCTGAGCAAGGCGCTGCTTGAATAATTCTACAATAATCAGCCTTTAGCTTCATTCTTAATGAGTTTCTAACCTTCAGCCACGGGGTTCACTTGGCTGTAACAAAAATAACAAATAAATAAAAGAGAAATACAAATAATTGACTTTTTTCTTTCAAAGAGGATCTATTTACTTTGTCAGGCATTTAATATGTGGTTGTAAGAAAACCTCCAAACAATCGATAATGAAACTCCTTAGTTCAGCTGCAGGATTCACTCACTGCTGACACATCGCCGCCTCGGAGGCAGGGCTTCCCTTGTTCGACAATAAATAGAGATTCAGTCATGAAAACAGAAGCTGAGCAGGCAGTTTAAACCTTTAAGGTTTCAGCAGTGTAGATTAAAACCTCCTCAGCCACTAATTATCAGGTCAATTATGCAGAGCAAACACAAGCATCATTTGATTATATTTTGCTTTGTGATTGTATTTCATTGGCTGCTTAAAATGCATTGTTTATCTCACAGGTTTATTGATGGTGATTAATCTAGCATCTGTTGTCGTTTATGTCTCTTTTAATTTAGGATTGGCAGTGTTTTATTATCCGACCAGTAGCCTGACACGCTGTGGGATAATTCAGCAGATGATGACCGCATCAGGTCTGTAGGTCACTGGATTTATATTAGAATCAGCAGCAAAGTTAATTGCAGATCCAGATCTGAGACCCAAGGGAAACGCATGGTTGTATTGTTCATATTGTTTCTACATAAACTGCCCTGTCTTTGCAACATTTACAGCTTGATAGGGGGAATCATTTTTGTTTATCAATCTCTTTCTGTGGGGGGGATTCAGAAGAGTAAGTCTGGCATCTGTCACAGATCCAAATACCATCTGCTTTCTTGCAGCACAGCATGCCTCTACACCTCCTGCAGCTCTGATGTTTAAAGGGGGCCGGTATAAGGGCTGTGCATGCCAACCCCAATGAAATATCAGTCAAACAAGCACGTAAATGCATTCGGGTCCTCACTGGGAGCTCAATAAATAAATTAACAGCTCTTCCACAGCAGGGCTAGTCCTATTTAAATGGTACCCTTGCCTTTCATGGCTCTTAGTTGCAAGATGTAGGTCAGATGGCAGAAATTTCAACTGGAGGGAGGCTTTAGACATATACTATACTGCCACCTGGTGGAAGAAAATGACTAACCAAGCTGTTTGCTTGCTGTAAATTTAAATGTGCAAGACACATTGTTTACTTATAAATATCTGAGAGGTGTTTCTGCATTCAACCTCATCGGCCAATAAACCTTTTATTGTATTTACAGCTGTTATTTCGTTTGGCTCGTCTCTAAAACCTTATTGCAAAACACCTCAGTAGAAAGAGAGGATTGATGGGCATCAGTCCTAAATTAATTAATCACTGAGCTTTGGTCTATAGCTATTCATTGCAGCTCTGGTTTTATGTTAAGGGTTGTGGTCCTGCTGGCAGGAGAACCGCTTTACCTTTGGCAACAGATTTTAGAAGGTTTTATATCAAGAAGCCGTTTCGCTTCCCATCCAGGAAGCTTTTTACAATTCAAATGGTCAGAAAAAGCGTTGAGTTCGAGGCTCTTATACAGTAGCCCATAATATGAGCTACTAAAGCCCAGGGCTGCTGTATAAGAGCCTGGAACTCGACGCTATTGCTGACATTTTAAATTGAAAAATCTTCCTGGATGTGAAGAGAAACGTCTTCAAACTTGGAAACAAAGTTCAGTGTTTAGCTTTTTTTGAAATTATATCCCCATAATTAACTCAGTTTTTTCTCCTGCCAACTGACCTGACCTTGAAGAACAAATCAGCCCCATAATATGAGGCTACCACCTCAAGATTTCAATCAAATAATATTTTGTTTCCATTACATGCTGCTAGGGAAAATGCAAAAAAAAAAAAAAAGTCTTCTTAAGACTTACTTCAAGAGTGATTTGTGGAGTGCATGACCAATAGCTGCCTGTTTACACCTTTCACCCAGAGCTCTACAAAGTATGGGGGGCCCCTGGCAGGAGGGAAAACTGAGGCTCAAGAGGGCTCCCGTTCACTTGAGGGGGATTTGCTAGGTCATCGGTCATTTCACTGCCCTCAGTTTGTCGTATGCTATTGCAATCTGCCGCTTCAGTTATGCCAAAGTGGAGCTTCTCTAGAAAGGCTCCGTCAAAAACAGGGTGGGGTTGCTTGAGGCCCCAAAAGCAGAGAGGAGTTTTTGTAGATTTAATGCAAACTGACGCAAACATCCAAAGCACAAAAACACTGAGAACCAAAGGAAAACAGCAAACATCAGGGAAAACTCACGTGGAAAGCCAGAGAGGAGGAAGCAACTGACAATCAACAAGGAACAAGCACATAGGGGGAGTATATATGGGAGACTGAACAAAGACTGGAGTAATCAGCTGATAGGGAGCAGGTGTGGATGGAAGAGACTAGAAGGGAGCTAGGGGAAAGGAGACAGGCACAAGGGGGCGACAGAGAGCAACTAAAGACTGGCTTAAATATAACAGAAAATGGAAAATGAACTAAAGATTCACAAAACAGAATAACTTAAATAGTGAAAACTAAAGACTCAAAGTCCCAAAGGGGGAGAATTATGACAGAGCCATGGGAGTTGGATTATGAGGATGTGCCATAAGTCTTACTGATGTGTTTTCTTTATTTCTGGTAACACTGTCCACCATCACTATTATTTTAACAACTGTACCCTCCCCTTCAACTCAGGACCCTAGGCCATTGCAGAGCTTGTCTATTACTTGCATACTTGTAGAGACAGTTCCCGCCCACCTGGATTCTGGGTCCCTGCAGCTCCACCAGTTACTACTCACCTCTTTGCTTCTCCTCCAACTTCTGATCAGAGATGGATTACTG